TCAGACAACTATGAAATCAGTGGCAGAGCCTGCATTGGTAAACGACTGTCTGAAGAGGAGAGTATGTAAGAATACATTTTGCTGTTCAGTAGTCACTGTCCTCTTAACTGTACAATTCCGTCATCCTGTGGGATACCAATGTGAAACAACACATGTCTACTTTCACCTCTTTTACCTGCTGGGAATCATTATTCAGTTCGGTACGTTTCATACCGACCTTTCTTTTCAATACGTGGCTATTGCTAACTACTGTAATTTGGTTCTCCAAAGTTGATTTCACTGGTAGCACAAGTTCAATGCAGACCATTGGCACTATTTGCAAACATGTTATTTTGAACCTGTACATTCAGATTGTTGATCGGAGACGTCGTATAGTTGGTTTTACATTTTCAGAGATATAAAAACGTTAAGAGTCTGGCACACGTGGGTTGTTGTTGACGTGTACTTAGTACTGATTGTGTTTAGTCGTCTTTCCAAATTTAGAGTGCTTCATTCAAGTGACTTGCTGACAGTTGACGTCGCCTCTGATGAGCGATCCTACCCATTTGCATTGAAATAGGCCAACTGTTCTTACCCCAGAGGGTCAATCAGAACATATTAACGATGCCACATCATATGCAAACATTTAACGTTGGGAGAAGGAAATGTACCATGGGAGAGAGTGTGAATGATGACTCTGACAGCCACAAAAATACCATTAATAATCTGGTCCTGAACAATATGCCCATTCCAATTCGTGACACAGTGAGTGATTGCGTGAACTGCGTGTAACAACGGTATGAACATCAATCCAGTGTACCTGGTATCACTGATAATATCAAATCACGTAATGCCTCGGTTACTTTGTAATACAAACAGTGTTATAAACTACAAGTCAAACATTTTACCAAAAGGCAATAGCCTTATCTCACAAAATGAAATCATTGAATTACTACAATATATCCATGGAACTAGGTCTTGTGCGTTATAGTGTTTGTATGTCTGACAGATCCTTTCAAACATTAAAACAAGCAAATTCAACCTGACACACATGAATTTTTCATAAACTTTAACACAAATTGTAAAGGCACATATGTCCGGGAAATGCATTATCAACCTGACCAAACTATATGGCATACAAAGAGCACCGCTCTCTGACACAAACACATTAAAGTGGGTTCAGCTATTAACACAGAGCATGGCGCTTTGGTCGCGGAGATCAATATGGAACGGTAACAGGTTCTGGAGGCACTTCAAAAGAGAGATGATGTTAGAAGACTTTGGTCCAGTTTCGTCATGAAGGTAGCATATCTCAAAGGTAAAAACATGCGTCTTCCATCAACGTAACGACTTCAATCGGAACTCATTTCAAACAACAACGATATGCCTCCTTGTCTGAATGTACAAATAACATTTAATTGTCCATAATACCAAATCTCTTTTAAATCACTTGCATTGGAATTCAGCAGGCATATGAAACTAATAGTATATAGTGAAATACACAATGCCATTTTAGAAAGTGGTCAAATGTAACATATGTAATAATAGTATATATTATTTGATTCAGAACGGGTTAATAATGACTACCGTGTTTACTGCATCGTGTATATAAGACCTGTTTTCTAATAATACTGTTACATTTTGGACATAATGCAACATATATTTCGAACCATTGGTCACTACTCATGCGCTAACCATCAGTCAGTCTGTACCTCTAAGTGGGAATACATAGCTCTCGTCCTGGTACCCTGTATAGATTAATAGTAAATTACTTTACCACCCTAGTTCCAAATAAATGGATGTGTATTATAACACCAACCAATAGTTTGGGAATAATTATGGATTCTCAAAACCCAAACATCTAATTTATCTTTTCCTGAACATTTTGCCTCTGAAGAACAAAATATATAGATTTACTGAATTAACGCCTGTTTCAAAGTATGCCAGATATTCGGCTGTACTAGATGTTGACATCATCCCGAATTCAATTTTACCTTCACTTTTACTTCCGTTGCAGGGTGATCAATTCTCAGACATTCACTTGTCTGTCGTGTGAGATTTTCTCATAAGAGATTTGATAAATGGTGAGAAAATCTACTCGCACTGGACCACAGCCAAAGCGTCCAAGAAATAATGGATGAACTTTGTTATAGATGAGTGGTCTTCCATTTAAAGCACATCGGGCTAATCGCTGATTACGTTGACCATTTTATACATTGTTAAGGCTGTCCTCGAACCAGTAATCCCGTTAAGTAAAGAGCTACAGACATTATGGATTAACTTTATTGAAATATTAGAGATATTAGATATTAGAAACTAAAGACTTAAAATATATTTTAACTGTACCATTCATGACTTGTTTTACCTCGATCGACAAGGAAGACGTTCCTTCTGACAGAATGTCAATACAAGTCTTTGGATGATAAAAGTGACATGCTGTCATGAAGCTAATCCCCGTTTGTATAACCAGTACTATTCCCATTTAAATTGTTTAGAGTAACAAATGTCGATCAGTATAAATAAATCATTCTTAAAAGCAGTGTGATGGCTACAGATCCGACTGTCACATGAGGAGTCGTTTATCAATCAAATGGTGATGATACAAGCTGTTCGCGAAACGGTGAGAGTATTCTGCTCCATGCACATGGAAAGGCAAATCAGTTGTTCACTTGAAAACCAAGAGAACATATGGGACAAGTCAAATACTGTATACCCTGTATACTGTTATAATGCCACCGTTTGTCCAGGAGTAAATATGGCATTATATCCAGGCTGGCATTATAACCAGGTAGGACAGTTGGAGGACCTGTGCAATCAACAAGGTGACTGAGCTGATGTATCCTGTAATGATCCTTGAATGATTGGATAATCCCAGCGTCTAGGGGCTGCAGGTGACTTCTTGTTGTGGGTGGCAGGAAGTGTATTGTAACATGTGTTATCCCATCTGAGATTACATGACTACTTAAAGCATTAACGAGTTTGGTCAATTAATTTGAGTTAACCAATTGAGGTATGTATGCTACCTGCAGCCAGTGGGCATGGGCATTATAGCCAGGTGAAAATTACTTTTGTTAAAAAAAAAGGCAAATAGCATTATATCCAGTTTGGCATTCTAAACGGAGTATTATAAGGGCAGGAAATCCGTTCTGGCAAACACATGGCATTATATCCAGGGTGGCATTATAACCAGGGTGCACTGTACGTTTCGTGGCATCGGACATTGCTTTTGTCACTGATTTATTAAAGTTAGAAGAAAAGTCCTGGCTACTGCTGTTTGTTACAGGGTGGCTAAAAGCGGGGTATCCGGACTAACGAGATCAAATGCAGGATTATGCCTTGAAAATACATTACATAATGCCTAAACATAGTTTATGGGCACGTCGTTGTGACGGTCCACGACACTTCGTCAACAGTGACATTTTCCCTATGTCAGTAAACAGTTGCTTTCAAACAGAGCGACAAAACCCTTTCCATAACAAATCAATCCATTTTACAAAACAGAAAATATGAATATGTGTTTCTGAATCATTAGCAAATAGTGATGATGCCAGGTCTTTGCGGAATGATGAGCGTATTCTGATGTCCTCATGTTCTCATCGAGAGCTTAGCTGAGGTATTGGATGTTGTAACTTTGATAGAACAACTTCTCAGAAAAAATCAGTTTACGCTCTTTGAAATCTTGATGACAAGAGCATGCTCGATTGTACCGAAGAAGTTGTGACATGTAAACACCAAAGGCTGGAGCTGATGGAATATTGATGCTCGACATGAACAGAAGTTGACCTTTGGAAAGTTCTTGTCATGAAGCCTTATGGAGAGTTTTTGTCACCGAGATCGAAATATGAAAAACTTAAAGCGATTTCACTGGTCTCCTATTTCAATTTCAGATGGGTAAATCAGTGGAAGGGAATTGGTTATTTGATTGTTATCGAACGATAACAGATCATGGATATATCTGATGTATATGTTAAACTTTATATCCAAATTGCCATGTTTGGAATTTGCAATAGTAATTCTGACTCACCTGCATACAGTAAAAGCTCTGCAAGGGGGGAGTGGTACCTATGGGAATGCACATTAACGTTTTACTCTGTAACTGTACAAAAGAAATGCCCCATAGTAGTTCAAGGATTGATTTTTTAAAACCCCTGAAGTTCGTGACGGTGCTGCAAAAAGGTGGGGGGAGAGAGAAAGGAGGGAGGGGGCGACTTTGTACAGACAACTCGGTGAGTTTAATCGTCTAAATTCTTTCATGTACGTTTGTGGTATGGATGTTGCTCAAGTTCATTCATTTTACCAAGTAACAAAGAAAGGTACTAAAGGCATGCTGCTGTTAGATGCTAACAATGATGTTGTGAACATGTGTCAACAAGAGAGCGAAGATGTTTCTTCAATAACATTTGAGCCCGGAGGATTTTCGTGTTCATCAGTTTGTTTTTTGGGGGGGTTGTGTAAGATGTTTAACGTCGTACTCAGCAACTGTTCAGCTACATGACAGCGGTCTGTAAATACTCGTGGCCGGACCAGACAATCTAGTGATTGATAACATGAACATCGATTTACGCAATTGGGATACGATGACACGTGTCAACCTAGTCGATCAAGTTACTCGCCTCTCACGAAAAGTCCAATCATTCAATAATTGGTATTGGTAACAGGACATACACTCTACGGCCTGGAGGCAATACGCTCTTGATTTCGTAGTTTGTTGGGACGGTGGGATAGCCTAGTGGTGAAAGGGTTCATTCGTTCGTCACGCCGGAGACCCGGGTTCGATTCCCCACATGGGTACAGTGTGTGAAACCAATTTCTGGTGTTCCCCGCTGTGATATTGCTGGAATATTGCTAAAAGCGGCGTAAAACCAAATTCATATACATGAGTTTCAGTTCTGGAACCATTGAACTTACGTCACCTCCCTGGTTATCACGCGCAATAATAGTAACTTTGATAGTTTTGAGTGGGTGTTGAGGGCGATGTTAAAGGGGAAGTGTACGACATTTATTCACAGTGTTTGAAATTATACATGAGTTTCAGTTCGGCCATTGAACTTACGTCACCTTGGTTATCACGCGCAATAATAGTAACTTCCGCACATGCGTACATCGCTGTGCGGCAAAAAAAACAGGAAGTGCCCTACGCTATTCGCGGCAAAATCAGAACGTTGACATTTACTTTCTTACTCGTTGCTTACAAAGAAGAATGCCTGCCAGTTGCTGTGCTATCGACTGTTGCAATCGTGGGTACAAAGGGAGCGTTTTGAAATTTTATCGCATTCCAAAGGATGAGGGAATTCGTAAGAAATGGATTATTGCGATTCGCCGTGTCGACTGGACTCCAACAGAATATTCCCGCATATGCAGCGATCATTTTCTGAAAGGTTTGTATATTGAGTGGCAGTTGTACTTGTTGATGGTTCTTTTCGTTGTCGGATGAAAGTAAAATCATGTAATCGTACAGAATATTGAATTAGTCAGTCGTTCAGTTCAAACGAAGGCGTCGACGAGTAGTTGATAAAGGGAAATCACTCTAAATGAATTTGAAAATTAACGATCAGAAGGACATGTCCAAATAGTTGACTAGGCACTACCAGATGTTTATGTAACTTAACCACTGCAATTAGGGCTATGATAAATATAGCCTTCTGTTAGAAATATAGATCTAGTTATTATTATGAATAGTTGTTCCGTTGAATTTTAATGTATGTTCGAATGTGCGCAGGTTTTCGGACGCTTACGAATTTTTGTGTTATCTTTTATCACACGAACAACTGTAAAACATCTCATCAACTTTTTAAAGACAAATTTATTTTAAGAATCCGCATCCAGACTATTTACAATGTGTTTTAGAGGAAAGTTATCTCATTATACATGAAACACTGCCATAATCTCTAACCCTATAATCGATCATAAAATTAATTTAAAATTTATTTGGGGGCATGGGGAAGTAAATATTTGTTTATTTGAGAGACATGTCCGTATATTTCAAATATGGAATTTTTTCATTGTTTCTTGTTACACAGGTAGACCATCAAAAGATCCAAATGATGTGGACTATATTCCAAGTCTGTTTTCCTTCACCAAAGAAAGTAAGGTCACTACATCTCAGAAGATTGACCGAAGGAAGCGACTTGAGGGCAGACATGAGAATGTCAATCGTGGCCTGGCTGCAACTGCTCTACTGTCTCTATCTAGTGTAAGTAAAGAATTACTATAACCTAAATTTCTATATGGGATTATCTTATTATTCGGTCTCTGATTTCTATTAACATATGTAATCATGAATCAGACCAACTGCATCCACATACATTATATACAAAATGGCCTACTATTTTTTGCACAGGGTTTAAACTTGCCCTACATAACTAGGGGTCAAAAAGACACCTTAGCAATTTCAAAGGTCCTGAAAAGTAATCAGGTAGTGTACTGCACTGCACTGTATTGTACAATGTAAACATTATGTTTATGACAGGAACATTATATTGCTTGTAGAGAATTTAGTTCAGTTAATAAAATTGTGCAAAATATATAAATTGTTTTCCGTGTCCATTCTATGCACATGATACACAGGTGTGTACTGGTATTGGAGACATTTGTGTCATGTAAAACCCTGTTCGTAGTTATGAAAGGTTGGTATTTTAACCATTTACACACATCAAAACTTGAATGTAAAATCTCCACACCCAAATCTATTGAACTTGCCTGGGTAGGCTAATTTGTTTTGATTTTAAACTTATTACATTTTAAATTTTTATAACTGGACTTTTTTTATATGTAATTTTTCATAAACTGATAATGATATATGTTTCAGACTGACAACAATAGTCATGCTGATGCATGTGTACAGACGGATCCTATGATGACGCTCCGACATTGCTATTCCAATGCCTGCCAGACTGAACTACATGATCTGCACATTGACAGTCTGCATAAAGAAAGGGAATACTGGAAAGAATATGCCCTTAGCTTAGAGAAGACCAATGCCATACAACAAAAGTATGTTGAAACGTTAGAAATGCAAGTCACCCTTGTCCAGACACATGTGGATTCCTTACAATCAAAATTACGACAGTTGGAAGCAGAAGTATCTCATCTACAAAAACAAAATAACAGAGTATGCTGTTTCACTAACATGGTAAAAAATCCAAAGCAGTTGTCCTTTTACACTGGTCTTCAAAGTTGTGAAGTCTTTAAAGACATTTTAAGTGAAAAGTCACATCATGTCAACAGGAAAAAAAGTAAGCTTACTTCGGAAGATGAACTGCTACTAACTCTGATGAAACTCAGGAGTAATTTGTGTATGCAAGATTTAGCTTTCAGATTTGGAATAGCAAAATCATCAGCCACCAAAATCTTTCATGCTTGGTTGGACGTCTTGTACATTCAACTGGGAGGACTTGTCAAGTGGCCAGAATCAATGGACATGCAGTTGCCGACAGCATTTCGCAACAAAACATTTCGAAGAGTCAAGTGTATTATTGACTGTACTGAAATCTTCATAGAAAGGCCAAGCAACAACAAAGCAAGGTTACAGACATACTCCCGGTACAAGCAACACAACACAGTAAAGTTTCTACTTGGGATCAGCCCCTCTGGAGCCATCATCTTCCTCTCCCCTGTGTGGGGTGGACGAGCCAGTGACAAGGTCATTACACTCCAGAGTGGCATCATTGAGAAGTTTGTTCCAGGTAATATGAATAACCATCATATTATTTATATTTTAAGTTACTAGTGTTTTGTACAATACTCAATTACAGTAACAACAGTCACAGCTTGTTCACATTTAACTTCTTGACTCGTCGAATAGATAACATGGATAAGGATAGCTCAGTGGACAACATATTGGCCCAATATGACAGCTGCTTGGTTAGATTTCTGTGATCAGAACATTTGTGTGAGGTCAAGTAAGAATCACAAGCAGACAGCATAGGTTCCAAATGCAAATCACTGCTTGAAGTATAAAATACTTCGTTACAGTTCATGCAGTGATTTTTTTTTATAATTCCTCTGAACTTGAAAATAGTTGCATAGCATACCAACCAAGAATTTTATATTATCATGTTTACATTAATCGATTATCCAATGTATTTGCAGGTGATGTAGTTTTGGCTGACAGAGGCTTTTTCATCGACACTGAATTGGCAACCAGGGGTGCAAAGTTGACAGTACCTGCATACACCAAAGGCAAGAACCAACTCTCAAGACAAGAAGTTGAAACATCTAGGGTGTACTCAAATGTGAGAATTCATGTGGAGCGCGTTATCAACCGCCTCAAAGACTGGGCTGTCATAAAGGGTCCCCTGCCTATCACTCTTGTCAAAAGAGGGAAGACCTCTGAGAAGTGTACCGTTGGCAAGATGGTACAAGTGTGTGCTGCCTTGGTGAACTTGTGTCCTCCAATCCTGGAATAATTTGATGTAGTTCATTGATTGACTTGGAATATATCCATTGTTTATTAGCTACAGTTTACACTCCATTTTAAAGTTGTACAATTCAACAAAGTCATTGTCCATCATATAAATTGTATTTATTAATATCTTCAGTAGATAAGTGCAAAGAAATATCTAATAGAATGTTAATACTTTTATCTGACAATGATGTTATTATTTGACCAGAATCAGTTGTTGGGCTTCCGACACAATTGTATATGTTAGAATGTTATACAAAGACATTGAACTCATGTGTATGTGTAACACATATAATCATTTTCAGAAAATGGTGGGCCAGTTACAGCAAGATATAGATGGTGTTTTGTAAATCAACCTGTAACTGTAAGAAATCTGCACACATATTGGTTTTATGTTTCATACAACCATTAATTTGAAAAATTTGGTTGCTGAACTAGCCTTGAGAACCAGGAAAGCATTAATTAGTTTATAGTTTATGATGCATAACTTTGGCGTGTTGACGCTCAAAATATTTTGAAGCTATTTGATTCACAAATAGAGCCTATCTTACTCTACGTATCCAAGATGTGAGGATTCCAGCATTTTGAAATTATCAAAAGAGTACATCTAGTGATGTGTAAAACGTTTCTTGGTGTGGGACAGTCAACACCAACATATATGGTATATGGAGGCTGTGGGAGATATCCCTTGTATGTCAATTCCTATATTAGATGCATGAAATACTGGCTAAAAATTGTATATATGCATGAAAATAGACTACCCAAATGCTTACAATATGCTTGTTCATCTAGATGATTTGGCTAAAGTAACATGGGCATCTCATATAAGAAACATATTTTCTCATGGTTATGGTTTCATGTGGCTAAACCACTCATCTGGCAATGTGAATCTTTTTGTATCAATTCTGAGAAAACACCTATCAATATATTTAATCAAGATTGGCACTCAGTGTGAGATAAAAGCCCACAATATGATTCCTATAGGTTAATGAAGGAAGATGTATGTCCATCGACATGTATTAGAATTAGCCCATTGTGTAAAGTATATATTTCAATTTTTATTTGTCTGTCCATCTTAATTAGATTTGCGTAAACAATATATTCCTGAATGGTAGTTTGGTACATCTCCAAGTCACCGACGGTAGCATTTAAACAAATCCGGTCTTCTAATGATAACTGTATCAACTTAAAACTATCACGATACATTTACAATGCAATGTCTAAGCGTGATACTCTGTTAAAATTGTCTGTGTATTCAATCTGTATATGATTGTATAAGGCCTGAAATACAAACATGTTTTGGCTTCAACATTGGTCAAAATTGTAAAATTATAGAATAACTGCATTATAGAATTTGACAAGAAAATTGCAATATTACCTCCCTTGGCCAGATGTTCATGTAAATACAATTGTCAACTACCCACGTTTTATAGTGTTTTTGCTCATACTTTACGTGGCCGTTTTTTTCTTGGGTTGGACAAGCGTGTTCAATTTTGGGGTCATTCTTTCTTGTGAGAAGTTCTGGTAGAACTACATGCAAGAAGTAAAAGTCCAGTTTGACTTTCAAAGTATCCAATATTGTCTTATTCTTAAATATTCGTTCTACATGAAGACCTTTAGATGACCACACGACAAAGTCACAAAATTCAAGATTACATACATGTAACTGTCCTTGAATTTGATAGTAATGATTGTGAGAAAGCTTAAGTGCATTGCTACAGAGTGAGTTTGACATAGTGTGGGGATTCAGGAAGAACTGTTGGTCTGCTAACTTGCATGGATGTTCATCTTTATATTTATAGAGACATTTCACCCCAACTAGTCCTCGCCCGCAGCAATCACATGACACATAAGAATCAGGAGTTGCACCTAAGTGAAGAAAATCTTGGTTCACAACTAAACCTGAATTACTTAAGGCAAGATTGAAATGAGATGACATCATAAGGCACTGGTAGTGTTTAAGAGCATCTTTCTCATGCTTTAGACCCCATTTACAAGAAACTGGCACCCCAGTTCGGCAATAATTGTTTTCAGTGTCTGTAGCCTGGTCGTATTGCATGATCTTTTCCAATAAGGAAAACTGATCTGGTTTACATCTACAATGGAAAATACTACCAAAGTTGGAGGCTGTTAAACGTCCCACTCGGTGCTCAAACCAGGTTGACGATTTACTCTGACCAACTGTTGCCTTCTGTAGTGCTGCAACCTCGTCAACGGTTACCTTTAGCTGATCTGAAAACACATTCTCACACATAATTTGTAGACTTTGTTCAGACAAATACTTATTTTTTTCATCATAGAGAACAGTTAATGGTGAAGGCAGAACTTCATTTTGTATCTGAGACCAGTCGGTAATGACTGGGTGAGTAATGCTAAAAAGTACAGCATTTGGAACACTGTTTCTCAGTTTTAATCTTAGGTTTGAAGTGTCGGCAAAGGTAACTTCTGGTATTGCAGGCAATGGTTCAGGTATCTGATCCTTCTTGGCTTTAGAGAAGCAAATGTCATCAACAAGTGCTGGCTGAACCTGAAACAAAATAAGTTGACTTCAAGAAATCAATGGGAATTTGATTACGTTCTACTCACATCATGACTTGTTTTAATTAATATTTGTAGAAAAGCATTTTACTTCATCTGTTTATTAATTAATATAAACATGGAAATAAATATTAGTAATAAACAAATTTAATTTTAAATTAACAATTTGGGATGATATTGGACGAATTTGTTGAAATAATAAATAAGGTTGAACAAAACAAGACAAAATATAATTCAGTTCTAATTCACATATTGTTAATTACCTTTTGAGTTAAGTTCTGATTTCATTTACAGGGCATTGATGTGCAAGCAACTTTATTGAACTCAAGACGAACGCAGGCCTCTATCTTGAACAAAATCCCAGCAACATGAGAACATACTTCTCCAAGTCTGAAAATAAATTGTACCTGTTCAATTATCATGACAAATTGTATTAAATTTAGAACTGAATGACTTCAATGTGATTGCAAAATACAACTGATATTCCATATCCATTACAACATTGTCCACTGCTTGCATTTACAATGTTAAAACATAACTGTCATTGATTAATTCAGTCATTTTCCACACAAAATTAATGTGAATTTTGTACAAATGCATCTCGAATAGAGATAAATAAGGCTCCATAAATAAAATCAAACTTTCACTTACCCTGCCATGCATGTGCAATGTGCACATTCAACTTTGCCACACACATCAAGTCCAACCCAGGCTTCATGTGGTTTTTCATTTACAGACTGTGACCTATGAACTTTAGCCTATAAAAGAAAATAATTTGGAATAAATACATACAGACATTTATTCATCCGCAAATGCGTTGTTCTACAGGGGTATTGACTTTGTTTAAAAAAAACATAAGGACAATGGTTGTTCAGTTGGGGTTTTTTTTGTTGGTTTATTTGGGTTTTTGTATCTGTAACTACAATAACAAAATAGTTCACATGTTAATAAAATTAACACGAAATACCGACATTACAACCTAAATGATGCGGTGAACGAAATGATGAATTGCCATGCTGTGTGGCGCAGTTGCACTGACAAAAATAGAGGTGATTTTACACTATCAATTGACACAAGCACTGAACATACCTTCAAAATACAATTGGTCTTTGCAGCATTGTGCCTGATAAAAGTCGTTTGAACCCATCCACTTTCGAAAAAAATATACGCCTCCAGAGAACGGAAAGATCGCAGGCTGGTCCTTGTGTAAGGCCCCGGTGTTTCAATGAGGTAAGTGTACAGATCGCCGTATTGTAGATCTGGCCATTGCGTCACATCATCACTCCATCGTTTATTAATTACGTATGGGTCGTCATCCAAACAAAAGCCTAGAAAGTTCAGTTTTTCTTCGTAGCGAAGTTTGTCTGTGGTGGACAGACTTTTGTAGTAGGTACTCATCGGTAGTTTGAAGTCTTTGCGCAGCTTAACTTCCAGTTAGATATCGGTTATTGCAGACGTCACTACTACTTCCGCGTTCTTTTGCCCTACGCTCGTTGCGCATGCGCGTATATACACGGAAGTACTCGTTTGCTGAAACTCATGTATACATTCATTTTTCTTACAATGAAAGTATAACCCTCAAAATAAGAGCTGAAATGTTATGCCATTATGCGGCCCTTATTTACCGAGGCAAACAGGCCAGAGTTACCGCCCTTTTATTATGACGTAATTGGTGCCACTTTCTTTTAGACTGGACTTCTGTCTTGTCCCAAATCAAAAGATAATAATACTGAAATTAATCACATGAGAAAATTTAGTTAAAATACGAAAGTTCTAAGAATACGAACTGAAAATGTAAGCAGCAGGACAGATTGATCGTGTGTATTTTCATTCATAACCTCACGTCAATGAAAATATCAAATATGTGTAACAATGTTGACATACGTATGACATCACTATTGGGAAGCGACATTCTCAAAATGGCGTGTTCACTGACACGAGTACGCCGGATTTTGTTGTTTCAAGCAACGCAGGGGCGGATACAGCTTTTTGAGAGAGAGAGAGAGAGAGTGTGTGTGTGTGTGTGTGTGTGTGTGTGTGTGCGCGCGCGCGTGCGTGCGTGAGTGTGTTTGCGTGCGTGCGTGAGTGCACGCGCGCACACACGCTATTGAGAAAATGAGGGGTGCACACTTCATTTCCACCCGAGTTTTTTTCTTAGTCATTTAACAAACTTTCTGGACAAAAGGGGGGGTGCGCAGCCCTGCGCCCCACCTCTGGATCCGCCTATGCAACGTATATACATAAATGTGACATGTAAGTAGTCCGAAACATTCTGACAATCTGTTGGTTGTTATTTTCTGTTGGTTTTCATTGTGACCATGGGAAATAGTCAGAAATGGGGAGAACTGCCATCGTCGGCGTGCGTGAGTTGATGAATCTCGGAAATCACCTATTTTATTTAACTATCGCTTGCTACGATACCGTTCCGATGCATGGTCTAAATCCAATGAGCAAGTGTATGCAACAAAAGTAGGCGAACAGATACACAGAGTGAAACCTGAGATTGACTTTGTTTACATTTCAAACAAGTGGTCCTTTCCCAGAGCGGCATCTGATATATTTCGTTAGATTTCACTGAAACGCTTGGTAATTGGTGACAAAGACCACTTGTCATTCTGTTTTGAACTGTATGAAGAATTCAGGAATTAGTGTAAGTGTACGTGTGACGTGATTTTATAAACACTCTGCAATATGGCTGAAAATTCACTTTGACGTGAAACTAATGCCATTGTGCGTATTTTCCAAAACATTCTCAGCAATTCTAGGTTCATCGACAATGTTTCAGAACGAGCATTGGTGATTCGATCAAACAACAACAACAAAAAAATACCGCTGATCACAATGATACGTTGGGGGTTTGGTTGTTTTTTTTGGTTTGTTTAGTTTTTTAATTCAATTGAATGTTGTACAATTTGGTTACGTAATAACACTTTTTGTACAATGTATACGTTTTTTCAAAATGCAACGTCATCACAGTGTCGAACTGACCAAATAGCCAGCTGACGGCCAGGCAACAGGTGGATTAAAACAGTAGCCTGCGCACCGAGGCACAAGAACCACACCTATACCTGCACCACGTGAAATGAGTCTAACAGCGTCATTCGTTTGTCGGTTTGGCACCAATGACGTCATTTCCAAGGGACATAAGCCATGGTGTGTTTATTGTAGACATAGAACTCTCGGTTAATGTGGAAAATTTGAATCGATATAACGCAAAAAATAAATTAGTTACTTCTGATATCTGTACTGTTTTGGCCATAAAACTACTTGACAAACACTTTTCATGATGAAAAAGTGCAAGAGAAAAAGGTTAATTTTCGTGTAAACTTGCCCTTTAAATTTCCGCAGTATGCCTGCAACAGAAAACTAAAACCGAATTTCCTATGTAAATCAATCTATGGTGTTAACACCATGTAATGATTTCGGGGCGATGGGGTAGCTTGGTAGTTAATACGTTCGCTCGTCACGCCGAAGACCCAGGTTCGATTCCCCACATGCATGGGTACAATGTATATATGAAGCCCATTTCTGGTGTCCCCTATAAAAAATAGTTCTGGCGTTCCCCGCCGTTATGTGACTGGAATATTGCTAAAAGCGGCGTAAAACCACACTCACTCACTGCAATGATTCACCAGGCAGTACTGTTAAAACAGGACCAGTATATCCGTGCAGCTTCAATACAGATACGTTCCGTCTTTCTGGAATTAGAGAAGACAATGTGATTGTATACCTATTTATATATTCTTTACATGCTACGTTCTAAATCTTCATGTATCACTTGGGGGTTGTCAAAATGAAATCAATGCTTGCCGTTCCAGCGAAATAGCGTAACCACACTATTGATTTTAGTTAAGTTTACAGCAAATTCCCTTATAATATTTATACATCTTTTTGACAAAAAACGACGCTTGTCCTCCATATCCGGATAACAGCGTTCCGACAAAACTGACGGACTGACTGAGTTTGGTTTTACGCCGCTTTTAGCAATATTCCAGCAACATCACGGCGGGGAACACCAGAAATGGGCTTCACACATTGTACCCTTGTGGGCATTCGAACCCGTGTCTTCGGCGTGACTAGCCAACACTTTAACCACTAGGCTACCCCATCGCCCCGTTCCGACAAAAGCCAATATTAAGACTAACTCCACATTGTAAGGAAATTGAATCGAGAACAGTGTCTAAATATTTTTCAACTGTCATCTGGAACAAGTCGCCAGTTTGAAATTAGTCGGTGGCTTCCTGAATATATAGTCTGGTTTAAACAACTAAATCGGCATCACAATATGCTAGGTCAGATCATGTTGATAGTCATTACTGTGTTAGTGCCTCGGAGCACCTTGCCTACGCCTAGCTAGGCCCAGGGTCAGTTGTGCGTATTTTCCAACATATCTGGGTCATGGTCATCTGACACAGATTTGGTCATAAATATAAACAACAGTAATAATGAGAAGTGATATGCTTGCACTGCTCGTGTGGGATGGCTGATACCCAGTTCGTCCTATAATGCAAGTAGTGGCAGTAAACTGCTTCTAGATACACAGTTAAATAACAGTTAAATGTCCATTCGACGGACAAGAGCTCTCCCAAATAGGGTGCCATGACAAAATTCTCTAAATTCTAATTGGCTTTCATACACATTCTGACATTTGTTTTCTAACGTCGGATAAGCTCTAACATCAACTCTGCCCCAAACCTCTCTCCAGACTAATTTTAGTTTAACTGTAGGGTGGTTGAAGCTTCCCACGCTCGTCGTCCACAATGTGTATAGTTCTTGCAGTCAATACCCATGAAATACGGAAGTAATCACGGGTAATGATCTCTGGAGTATATATTCTGTAAATGTTGTTCGGACTCGGTCTAGACTTTGAGTGACAAATTGGATCAACCATCGGGTTTAGTCATGTTAAACCCCTTAGTATTCCGCACCGTAGCAGTTTTTGTCTTGTGTGTTTGTCATATAAGTGAATTGGTTGGCTGAGATATGTCATGTTGTACAAACTGAGTTGGCTGAACAGACATCGTTATCACCAACAAGCAATGAATCTATAAAATAGAGACAGGCAAGCATCGCGAGAGAAAAGACGACAATGAGTGAAAAAATACTTGGGTGAAATTAACAATGGGGGGTTGGGGGATTGGAACACGAATGTCATTACACATTATACTACTTGAAGACATTTAGTCGCGTCATAAGAGCTTTGCAATATCTGAAGTATGTAGATTTCCCCTCCTTTGTCCGTTTTGTATTGTTGTATTATATACTGAGTCAAAAAAGAAACTTCACATTCTTTCTTCAGGGCACTATAAAAGAACAAAAGATGGCAAGATGGTTAAATTGTTATTATTTCATTGCTGAGATCTGTGTGATGTACTCGATACACTGACAGTGCCATAATCAGTTCCATAAGGCTACACCGCCGTTCCAAAACATGGGTATACAGAATGTCAAGTCACAAGAATAAAAATGCGAAGTTTCCCAGTTCAATATCGTGTATGGCCGCCCCGCGCATTCACCACTGCCAAACACCTTCTCCTCATCGACTGCCTGATGCTTGTGAACACGTGGTTTGGGATTCTGCGCCATTGCTCTTGCAAGGCAGCGCCAAGTTCCTGGAAATTCTGAGGTTGGTTCCTAAGACCAAGAAGCCTTCTCCCAAGTGCATCCCAAATGTGCTCTATTGGATTAAGGTCAGGGGACCTCGATGGCCAGTCCATGACGTTGATTCCAGCGTTTTGAAGAAAATTTCGTGTCAACATCGCGGTATGCGGCCGAGCATTATCATGCTGGAACTGTAGACCTGGGCCATGAGCCGCCATGAAAGGAACGAGTTCAGGGGTGAGCACCTGGTCGCGGTAAGCAGCAGCTGTGAGGTTTCCACGGATGACCAGAAGTCGGGAACGGTTGTTCCCACAGAAAGCACCCCACACCATGCAACTTCCGCCCCCGAATCTGTCGACTTCCTGTATTAGGCATACCGTTCACGACGTCGTTTCCAGACTCTATGCCTGCCGTCCGCGAATCTGAGGGTAAACCTGGATTCATCTCTAAAGACGACTCGATTCCAGTCTCTCTGGGTCCATCGGAGGTGACGTTGGGCCCACAGCAGACGTTGACGTTGATGAACCGGCGTCAATATTGGCCCACGATATTGACGTCGAGAATGGAGACTGGCAGCCCGCAACCGATTTCGAATGGTCTGTGAGGACAGTCGACCTCTAAACATCTCAGCCCTGGTTCGTGTAGCCGGCAGAAATCTGTCACGTAGGTGACGTAGGACGATTTGACGGTCTTCTGCTCGTGACGTCACACGTGGACGACCCGACCTTGGGCGATCAGAAGTGGTGCCAGTTTGTTGTAGACGACCTCGCAAGTCATACACAGTACGACGGCTGCATCCCAAGTACCGTTAGAACTGTGGTTTAAAAGTGTTTTTTCAATTCTTGAGGCCAATGCAAACACGTGCATATAAAGGAAACTTCGATGCGAAGATCACGTGATCGACTGCACGTGCAAAACC